GTCTTTGCTTATGGAGCCAGAAATGCAAAGTGACACCCCCAAAAGGCTTATCTCATTCCTGAGAAATTTTAAAGATGGGAAGAATTTTCCTACTATTAAGAGTGGTAGTTGGCACATTAGTGAGCACCCTGTTGATGTTACGTACTTAGCTTGTCATCTCTCCCCATGCTGACAGAAAACTTGCTGCTAAAAATTAAAATTTAAAAAAAAAATAGTGAGAGGCCTGACTGCTGTAGCTTGTATCGTGTCCTGGCTATATTTGAAGTATTTCATAACTAGACTTGAACAATAAGCAAAAGATGTGTTCAGTGCTTTTGAGGATAGCAGTTTGCTGAGCTGCTGGCCTTACCGTGGTGCTTAAGTTCATAGCTCTGCCACAGCTGTTTCAGACTGTGTGGGTGTATTGGGTAGCAGCAGCAGGCTGCCAGCTGAAATGCTCTCCAGGTTTAATGCCCATCTAGCAACCTGACCTCCCTGCTAACTGTAGCTCCTTGCAGAAATTTTCATGTTTAAAATTCATAATCTGACAGCCTAGGTCACTCAGGTTCCTGCTTAGTTCCCCGCCGCATCCGTGGGCTACGGAAAACTGTCCCCCCAGCTCTGTTCTACTAAACTGTTTGCAGTGGTGGTGAAAAAGGCCATGAGAAGCTGAAGGGGGGGGGAAAAAAAAAAGTGTTCGGAAGAGGGACGTTTTTTTGTTTTAAGAGGAGGGACCACATCAGCCATCCCTTCCTTTTCTGGGCAGGGCTAGGGAGGGCAGCGCAGCCTCGCAAAAACTCTGAGAGAATAGCTGATACATATATATCGGGGAACAACCCAATGAAGAAATGAGAGGAGGGCGTGTGTCAGGCAAGGATGGACATAATGTTGCAAATTCTTGCTTACAGGTTTTTTATCTGTACAAATCAGAGGCATGCACCTCACATACCTTGGGAGGAAAATAAGAGTCTCCTTAGCACATCTTTAAGGGTGGGAGGGTCTTAGATAATTTTCTACAGGTCTGTTTTGTACTTAAACAATGCACTGTTGTTACTTAATGTTCCTATGGATCTTCATTTTACCTAATTTGTTCTGTTTCCACTGCATATAATCCTCCTCTTATGTCTCTTTCCCTCAGCCCTGAAGTGATAAGAGCAAGAGCAGATTGGTTCTTGGAAAAGCCATAGCTTTTATTCTGTCTTATTTATTTAAGTCCAGAAGGCTTCTTAGCTTGTGCCAGTCAAAAAATCATAAATTATGTCATTTGTCATTTTAACAATTGGTCAGGAAGGTTTCTTTCAACTTTGAAAGAGCTTTGTAATGTTGACCTTGGTATCCAGCCACTCAAATGCAGTTTAGTTTAGACAGGCATCACTTCAATCTGTTCTGTCTTCATTTAAAAAGAAAATTTTTAAAAAATGTTATTTCTTATGTTGCTTTTATTATGAAGACTGTATACTGAGACAAAGCTCTGGCAGCACTGAGAATGAAGTGGCTTTTGGATTATCATCAAGCACAGACGGGTGATGCTAGGGAAATCTGTGGTGAGGTTTCTGATACAAGGTGGGATGTCTCATCATAGAAGAATGGTAATAAAAGATGAAGATGCTGTAACAAAAAACAACTGAAGACCCAGGAACAAAAGCCTAATTCTTATTGGAGCCCCTTGAGATTTCTGATATCTCTTTCATGCAGCTTTCAAAGATCTGGAAGTTCATATGAGACCTGTTGAGTAATTCCCATAATTACTTCCATATTTTATTTCCAACAACTGGCCAAGGTCAGGTCCTCTTCTACCACAGTTAGTGATGCTGTTTCTAAGATAGCTTTTCTCTTCATCTCAGGAAGTTGCTAAGAGCAGTAATGGATCCTATCAGTTAAAATCTAGTGACTTGTTGAGGGAGGTCTCTGCACCGCTCCTTTCCTCCATCACAGAGTAGTTTAAGGAGATTCTAGCAAGGATGAAAGAGGGAACCTTTGTCAGAGAGTAATTTTCCTGTCCCATATTAAGAAGGTTGTTTGTTCAGCAAAGAGACGATGACCACTGTGATTTGTTTTATTTTTTTGAGTTGTGGACATTTTATTCTCAGGAATATTATTTGTAATTGAGAACAGTTGACTGGTGACCCTTCTCTTTGCATTTAGAAGTAGTAAAGAAAGTTGGGTTTAGCCTCTGTCTCTGCCAGGGCCCTTGTGATTGATCTCTTGCAAAGCTGAGAAAAGTTGATCTAGTAGAACTTACATCATCTTCTGGTACTGGTCGGGTCACAGCAAGGTGTAGGAATAAGAAAGAAGCAGTGACTTTGACTTGTTGCTTGAAGAGATTTGTACCTCTCAGGCTTAATTTATCTAGCCTTGCATCTGTTAGTGCCTCTGTGTCATGGAATGTCTCTGCTATGGATAGCCACCTCACTCCCCCCCACTGCAGCATAAAGCAGGATCACTGTGAATGCTTGAATTCCCTGGTTGTTTTCACAACTTCTGGAAGGGAAGGAGCACACAGAATTTACTTTACTGATGGCAGGAACACTACTATTCTAACTACTATAATAAACCAGTGAGACCAGATTTGAAGTTTTCCCCCAGGTCCTTCTTGGGACAACAAAAAGGTCCAAATACAGTAAGAATTTTATTATTATTATTATTATTTAGAATTCTTCAGAATTTTAGTCCTGCAGAGTTTATGGAACAAATAACTTGTTCAGTGCTATCTAAATCGAACGCTCAAAGAATCACGAATTTACTTACATTCATCAAGAAGATGTAGCAGCTACTTAGGAGGCCAGAGTGCCTAAGTCTTTTTTGTAGGCTCCAGTCTTTTTGTTTGGTTTATTATTATTATTATTATTTAGAATTCTTCAGAATTTTAGTCCTGCAGAGTTTATGGAACAAATAACTTGTTCAGTGCTATCTAAATCGAACGCTCAAAGAATCACGAATTTACTTACATTCATCAAGAAGATGTAGCAGCTACTTAGGAGGCCAGAGTGCCTAAGTCTTTTTTGTAGGCTCCAGTCTTTTTGTTTGGTCTTAACTGGGCACTCCCTCTAATTCTGAATTCATACTCCTTTCAAGTTTCAGATACAGAAAAACTCAGAGCAGCATATGATGTTTTTTATCCTTAACAGTTTTGCTATAAATCCTTGCCTCTCACACAATTCCTGATTTCCTTTCCTAGCAGCACCCTGGTGTTGACACCAATTTAACAGACTGAGTCCATTGCATCCTGGATCATGAAGTTGTGCCTGTAGGCCTCAGGGCTTACAGCATTTTATGTGGTTCACTGGAGAAGCTTAAAATAGCCCTTGAAGGAGATGCTATGTTTTACTGGGTAGTTGTGTTCCTAAACTGAATTGCCAGGAAGGCAAGAAGTCTCCCCCATAACAAGTCACTGCTCACCAGCATGGCAGAAAGTTGTTGGATGGAGATCATCTGTGTTAAAACCAAAGGCATCACTTGAGTTGGGGAGGCAAAAGCAAAGGATTCAATTGTTAATTTAAAAAAAATATTATTCATAAAGATTTTCATTGTCTTCATCAAAATATTTTTTCTTTAGGTAATTCCTCTGTTTGTTTTGAAGGGTTGTTCTCGTGTAGAATGGAAATGATAATTCAGATGCTTAGAGCTCAGGAACACCATTTCATTCTGTTTCTGTTGGTTATACATATCAGAGAAGTGCAGAAATGGAGTCACAAAGTTTTTGTAAAACTTGACACGTGTTCCAGAACTTGCAGTCCTTTTATAGGGAACCAGTAGGCTTTTCCTGATCTTAGAGCCATTTCCTTACTTATGACAGCAATACAGATAATTTTTGGGTGACACTACTTGCCTACCAAGGGGAAGAGGGAAAGACATTTGTATATAATCTCTGCTTGATTTTAGATGTCTGCATTGTAAAGAAGAACCTTCCTTCCGTACTGGCAGCCTCTTACTACAAAAACCCATTACAGTCAATTTGTGGACCTTAATATAAAAATAATTAAGAAGATAAACTTCCTTGAAATTTTTCTTTTTTTGACTTCTAAGATCCACATCTGTGGCACCATGAATGCTTGTGAGGGGAATGTGGGGATCTGAGTTTGTTGTTGTTAGGTAGGATTAGTGCTGTAGTAGCAGCAATCGCTGTGGTTTTCCTGGAAACATGGTTAAGTCAATCTGTAATGCAAGAAGGAAGATTTAAATGATCCGGGGGACTGTTTCAGTTGGCGGAAACTGCAGAGGGTCACTTTTGCTGCCAGTGACTGGCCTGATTCTGCACCATTCTTCAAAGTGGCTGAAGCACCACCATATTGCACCTGTGGCCTCTGCTCTTCAAAGAGCAGATATTTTCAGATAAGTGCAGATGAATTTCCCTATTCACTGAGAGAAGTAATGCAAATCAGAGTGTCAGTTTTGATTTATTATATTCCTAGAGGATAGTGTGCATGGGTGCTTTTCTTATGAGGCTGTCTGTGCTGCAGAGAGATTTAATTTTCAGCAGGGAACATATTATGCAGCTTATTTGATTGCAAATTTGTTTAAACAGCTTTCAGCTTTATATTTCCCAGTTAGGTAATGTAGCTTTAGATACTAATTGCATAATTGACTTGATATGAGTCACAGAGATATAAGGTACAGTGTGCCTGGTCTGACTGCTTGTTAGCTTTAAGTGGCTTTATACAATCGCTGACCTAGAACTGAATTTAACTCTTTCATTTATTGAGTTCTCTTCCGAGTAATTGTTGTCTGAGGAAGAAGGATTTTTTTGGTACTCAAGGAATGGCCATCTTCATTCATGAAGTTTTTGATGCCAGAGCATGCATGTTTTGTGGATTGGTGTAAGTTCTTACTGGTACACCAATGTGAAGAAATAAAGTGATTTTTAAAATTAAAAAATGAGTGCATGGCACACAGAGCATCTTCTCTACCTGTTCCTTGTGGTTTTGTTTTCCTTTAGAGGATGGTTATTTTTCAGTCACATCTGTTTTGAAAATACTGAGCTTCACAACTAAGATTTCTTCTTTTATCCCTCCATTTCACAGGCCTGAAAGATGCTACAGGCTCTGAGAGTGATGGTGGTGACTCTTGCAGTACAAAGTCGGAAGGAGCCAATGGAGGCACGACAATCCAACCCAAAAAGGTCAAGGGTGTTGGCTTTGGAGATATCTTCAAAGACAAACCTATAAAGCTACGACCAAGGTCAATAGAAGTTGAAAACGACTTTCTCCCAGTAGATAAGGTATGTGCCATTTCTTAATTCTCTGTTGGTGTTGGTTTAAAGAAGTATTCCTCCTGAAGTTCTAAATTCTGTCACCGGCCAGAACTTGAAGCTTTATGGTCATTATTCCCTAATCTTTCTGTGAACAAGATTCAGTTTATCTTTCCTTTTCTTGCACACCAGAAAGTGAATTCCAGTGAGGTAAGCTGCCTGCAAGAACTGTTACTTTGCTTAAGGATTTACTCCTCTGTTCATACCTCCACTGGCCTTTTTTCTAAGAAAATATTAGTTTAAAGAACAAGACTGGAGAGGCTCTTCAGGTTTGCATTTACTCACATTATGGTTCAAAGAAGAAAAAATAAAAGGCAGCTAATTCCTGTACAAACTAAGAGGGAGATACTGTGACTGTGCCATCAGTTTGCTTAAAAAAAAGGAAACTTTGGCAAATATCTAAATACCACAACTTAGTACTGGGTTTGTTGATTTTAAAATGCTTTTCAGTAATAACCTAGCTTTGTTTAAAGGGATTAGTAAAAGGGAAGGCACTATTTGTTGTGGATTTGTTTTATATGACTTAAAAAGAAAGTCCTGAGATTAACACCTGGGGAAAAAATTTGCTTTTTGACAAACGGAAACAGACCATCTTTGTAGAGAGCACTCTTTGTTCCAAAGGCTCCAAAACTGTCACTAAGTGAATTAGAAATAAAGAGAGACAGAAAGCTAAATGGGATAGTGCAAACTATCCTAAATGGGATAGTGCATTGACCTCTCTAGGGTATGTTCATCAGGGAAACATAGAAATGCATTCACAGAATCACAGAATGGTTTGGGTTGGAAGGGACCTTAAAGACCATCCGGTTCCAACCCCCCTGCCATGGGCAGGGACACCTTCCACTAGACCAGGTTGCTCAAAGCCTCGTCCAGCCTGGCCTTGAACACTTCCAGGGATGGAGCATCCACAGCTTCTCTGGGGAACCTGTTCCAGTGCCTCACCACCCTCTCCGGGAAGAACTTCTTCCTGACATCTAATATAAATCTCCCCATTTTCAATTTAAACCGATTACCCCTTGTCCTGTCACTACAGGTCCTTGTAAAAAGTCCCCTCCCAGCTTCCTCATAGGCCCCTTCATGTACTGCATTGTTTCCTAATGAAGTAGCAATCAAAGAAAAATCTGTAAAATCCTTCAAGTGAACCATTAGCTTGCATAGGGTTACTGAAATCCTGGTAAGTGTTAGGAGGCTTCTACAGCCTGGAGTTCTGCTACAGGCATAGTTATATGATGTGTTTTGTTTGGCTCCATGGATTTTGAGAAGCTCCTGGGCATCTGTTGTTGTTCCCTGATGTGTCAGCTTCTCACTTTTCGAGTTTTGCTTGTCCAGTTGTCTGTCGAACTAGGCGCTTCATGAATTACATCTGTTTGGCCCACAAAGCCTTTGTTTTTTAACCTAGATCTTTTCAGTGACCTGATTTATAGCCCAGCACCTACCCCACATCTGCCCTGAGTTACGATGGTACAGCAGAAGGGGACATCCTGCAGAGGAGTGGTGGACACTTCTTAAGTTAGTGGACACTGAGGGAGAATTAGCTAATATTTTACAGTAGACTGCAGTTTTAATTCTGTATAAGGAGAGTGGTGAAGATTGGTATAATCTAAGTAAAGGAAAAACATGGATTGTTTTAATCTTTAACCATTCCTGACTTCTCCAGAACCTGCATGGTACTCTGATTGCATTCTGTTTCTGGGAAGGCATATTAGCTTATGAAAGGATTTATTAATGTGCAGGACTGGGAACAGCTGAGCTGTATTCCAGTGGCACATCATCAAAGAAGCCCTCCTGGGATACAAGACAGGGATAGACCAGACCTGATGGTGTTCTCCGAGTGCTAGCTAATGAACTTCCCTCCTGTCAGGGAATGGGGTAGAGAGCAGTGAAGTCAGCTTTGCAAGGAGCCACCACGATGTCTCTCTGCAGCAAGCTTTATTTGTGACCCTGGCAATCTGCCAGTGTTTAAGTTGTGATTGGGCTTTATGACAGTTTTGTAAGTATGCTGAACAAGAATTTTACCAACATATGAAACCTAGGTATGTGAAGGAAATACACAGTGCAGGAAGTAAATCACCTAAGATAAACACACTATTATATTTACATTCTAATAGTATTTATGATTGGTGTGTAATATAAGCATTTGCTTGTAAGAGTAATGCATATGTAAGCACTGACCAGAATTCGTGTTGCACAAAAATCAGGTCTTCTGAGTCTGATGTAGCCCAAAATGGGAACTGATTACAATAAATTCCATATCTCTTGAACTCTGGAGACCCGTGTTTTAATGTGAAGTATTCACAAGGTGTCTATGAAGTGGCCTTCATTCCCTGAAAGGAAGTCTTACTCTATAATAATGAAAAGTCTTAGCTTTGTTTTTCACAAAGAACAAATATTTGTGCAGTGTACATCAATAGGTTCGTTATCCAGCCAAACATTAAATACAGAATTTCCAGAAGTTTTCTAAAATGTTCATCCTACCCACAGACCTTCCTTCCTCTGTCTTCAGATTTGTCCTAAAGTTGGCGTGGTTAATGGAAAATAATGGCTTTGGTTTTCTAAACACAGTCCATTATTTGTGTTTTGAGTGTGTAGATAACTGAAAGAAATGCTTCTTTGCTGTGGTTGCTTTTTTCCTGTCTAGGGTCAGGATGGTTAACCTTTGAGCAGTGCCATTCAGAGGTTTCAGCACAGTGGTATTTGCCTACTCATAGCACCAAAACCTGATTCACTGACACAACATTCAGTTCCGATTGCAAAGCATTACCCTCCCAAGTACTCCTCTCCTGGCTGCAAGAAATTCCTCCTTCATCGTTGTCGTGTCCATTGCCATTTAATGCTGGCTGAGAGAGAGAGAATCCTGCATTAAGTTTGTCATTACAAGCGAGGTCATGCTTCGCTTCAGGGCTCTGCATGCTGGATCAAGAGTGTTGCAGTGTAGGATGCAGAGCACCAAATTGGTACAAGTTTTGCTCGAGCAAGGTAGTGTCTAAAGGAATCTTTCCCCTCGTATGTGTCTTGCTCATTTAAATGTAGCCTCAGTTCTTCAGTAGCTTGTAATTTTTTAGAGAGGCAGAAACAGTGCTTACCTCAATTAATTCTTTTTTTTAATTCTTTCTGAAGTTTGTAAACCCTAAAACTCTGTTGCTTCTTCTAGATACTGTTATTGATAAAACATTTCATATATTACTGTAATGATACTTTTTGATCTAAAGTATTTCCTAACAACTACTGATATTTTTAAAGCGTCAATAAATTACTGTGAGGATTTTATAATGTGGGATTACTTACAGCAAGATAATTCCCATGGAAACTCTCAGTCCGATTTACAGAAGAATCAACAGGGTCTCATTTTGTTGGCGTTATCACTTGGTGTTCTAGTGGGTTTTCAATTTTATGAACCATAAGTTTAGATTGTATTTCACGCAGAGGTGAAATGAATTATTAGGGTGATAAGTTATGAAGGCTTTTACACAAATAGTGGCAGGAGTACAAGGGCAGAAAAGATTGCTGCCAGTTGAGCGGAAGCAGGTGCCGTTAGGCTCTCCCCTAAATCACCAGGCAGTTTGATGTGATCCAAGTGTTAGCCTAGTGGTAACAGTGTAGCATATAGTGCACCTTGTCTGTTAAGGTAATCAATAAACTCGCTAACTGAAGGCAAAACTGAGGAATTTCGTGAAACCCCATTGGTTTTATTGGTGTGCAAAATTCATTGCTTTGCTGTTCTTTGTTCTAAAAAATCACAGAAGCAGATTATCCTAGGGAAATTAATGATGCGGTTGTGGGAGTTTAATTTGAGCAGTGCCATCCAGCTGTGCTTTTTAAAAAAATAAAAGCATCAAATACATATGCTTTGCAGTCTTTTTCTTTGCCTGTTTGCATTGATGAGTTGACCACTGGCCATTTATAAGTAGAATCAGATTCCTGAGGTTTGGATCTGTCAAATTCCCATTAATGATAGGTGCAAGTGAACCAATTAACAATGCTGCATGTGACACAGCTTGCTGACAGATGAAGTTTTAGAAGAAATACAGTATGCGTATAGGCATGGTGTGTCTCCTGAGAAAATTAGTGTAACACTGGTAAAGTAGCACAGATTTTATGTCAAATAGAGATGCCCATTTCACATATCCTACTTATGCTCAGGCAGCTTTAAGACATTTCAATATGTGTGTATGGTTATTTCTTTTTTTCCTTTTTCATTTTGTAGTAGCTTATCTAAAACTACTGCTTCTAGGTGGGACTTCCTTCCACTATGATCTATATGTGCTTCTGTTGTTCTAACAGGCTATCACTTTTTCCTTTCCTCTATCTAAAAATAAACCTCTGAAGGTAAAGGAAAATTAATTCAACAAATACATTCCTTAGTCTGAGTTAACTGCATCGGGTTGGTCAGTGAGTTGAGGCTTCAGCTGGAAGTGCTGAAGTCTGTAAAAAGTATAAAAAAGCCATTTTTATCTTTCTGAAAACTGCCCTTACTTCAGAAGAGGCTGATGAGAGGTTTTTTTACATTTGTCATTGGACATATATTTGTAGTTTTCTTCAGGCAAGGCTTTCACATTAGTGCTTGCCAGAACTTACTGTAAATTATATACTCAACCATCAAACTAGGGAATATTGTAGCCACTGTAATGATTTAATATTAAGGGTGAGGCTATCATGGCTCCCTGTCCAGCAACATGTAGGATCTAGTTAACTGGTGTTCAGGAATCCTTCTCACTGCAAAACACTGAATTTATACAGAAATTTTAATTTCTGTATATATTTAAAATGTTTGGGAGAGGAGGAGCAGAGGAGAAATAATGGAAGTAGACACAAGAGCAATAAGGGCTCGAGGCACATGTCAATTAAGTCTACCTGTCCTCTGTAATAAGATGGAAATTTGTAGACTCTGAGATGGAGTGCCTGCCAGGTCTGAGTTTCTATTTTAAGACGGCTAGCTAGGGACCCAGAAATTGTGGTGACAGTTGCGTGTC